TGGGCCCCTTGAAAGATGTTAAGGGACAAAGCAGTGAGCTCAGGTCTGGCGGCCAGGGGGTGTCGGATGCGGAATGACGCGATTGTACGTCGCCCGCGGTGCCCCATTGAGTCAGATTCCGTTTGGCTTGCGCGTTTTGAACGACTGAGCGCCTGAATCGACTGTAATTGCGTGTTGTGTTTTCAAGAATGATTCGTTGCGACGCTTGGTGCGAAAACGCATGCCTGGTTTAAGCATTTTTTCCAGAATGATTTGCGTTGTCTCCCGGAACTCAAAGCCTTTGAAGCACCATGCTTCTTCCCCAGGGAGTGCTTCTATTGAAGGTATCCTAGCGGTAGTCGAAGCACTGAGCGAAAACGCAGGACCGATTTCGGTGGGCGGGCGGTTCCCCAGGTTCCCGATTCCGAGTTCTGGCGCAAGTGCCAGGCCGATTTTTCGGTGGGCGGCTAGGTTCCCGGGGTGTTGGCCAGTTCCTGGGTCCTTGTGACCACGAGAGTGATAGAGTCGATCGTAGAGAGGAGAGACTACATATCAGGGTGTAGAGGGCGGATTTGAGGTAGAGAGAGAGGATGTTAAAGAGTGAAAAACAGGTCGAACTGAAGGGGGTAATTACTGATATCGAAATATCAACCGACGGAGAGAGAGAGAGAGAGAGAAAGAGAGAGAGAGAGAGAGAGAAAGAGAGAGAGAGAGAGAAACATAGAGAGCGAGAGAAATAGAGAGAGAGAGAGAGAGAGGGAGGTCAGCGGTAACTGGTAACACGATAAAGTATATCTGTGTGTAAAAAATCGAGGGCAGGGAACCCACACCAGAGAGTATAAACCATTACCTAGGATGCATACGTTCGTGTATGAAGAGGAACTGCTATTTACATAAGCGTTTCGAGCGATCCATGTACGTGTGCGCAATTGTGCACGTGTGTAGTCGTGCACATACATATACATACACACATGTGGTATACGATTACAGATAGCTACCTTATATATATATATATACACATATTTAGTTATATATATATGTATGTATGCTTCAGCGTGTACGTTTCCATACCTTCATGCAGGTGTCGATATATAGCTGCACTCGTACAACGAGTACCTATATTCATAGAGAAACCTGTCCTGGGACAGCCCTGGGTGCGGCCCGGGAGCCTGATTCCAGAGCGTCCCAGGAGGGCCCAAGACGGCCCCAGATGGTTCCAAGACGACCCCAGATGGCTCCAGGTGGCCTCAGGCGGCCTCTTCGGAAGGCTCTCGGCGGCCTCTGGGGAGGAATTTTGGGGCCTCTTGGGAGCCTCTCGGGGACCTCGTGGGAGCCTCCTGGGGGCCGCTGCGGGTTTCCTGGGGACCTCGTGTGGGCCTCCCGGGGCCTCTTGGGAACCTGTTGGGGCCCCGTGGGAGCCTCTCGGGGCCGCGGGCTCGAAATGTCCGTTCGGATCCCCCGTCTGGGCACGGTCTTGGAACCGTCTTGGGGGCCTCTTGGGCCGTCTTGGAGGCGTTCGGGGCTGCCTTGGGGTCCTCTTGGGCCGTCGTGGGGCTGATGACGATGGTGATGATGATGTCTGTCTCAGCGCTGGGCCGCTTGGGTAGCCTCTGACAAAGGCTGCAGCCTGACATCAGCGGGCGTTGGGCAGCCAGCCCTCTTGGCCCCAGCGGCCGCCCGGCCCGATGCGGGGGCCCCAGGCCCCGCGGGGCCCGCCGGCCGCACCGCGCGGGCGCACCCTTGCCGCGTGGCTGCGGATGGTCGGCCTGGTTGCGGCCCCGCTGGGGCACCTGCCCAGGGGCGGCGCAGATGTCGACTGCGAGCTGGCGAGCTGCGCCATCTCTGAGGCGCAGGCCTCGTGCGACAAGTGCGCCACCACGACGACGGAGACGACCACCTGCGAGCCGATCGTGTGCGTGTACTACGACTGCTCGCAGGCCCCCGTCCAGGCGAGATGCCCATGCAAGTGCGCGACCGACGCTTCAGCGGCGACGCCAGTGCTGCAGGGCACTGTGCCTTCGGCGTCGGAGGCCAGCATTACGCAGACGGCAACGTCCTGCGAGCCTGCGTGGTGTGCCTTTACCAGCGACTGCACGGCAGACCTTGACGGCACACCCATTGCTGTGACATGCAGGTGCAGTTGCGCCACCAGGACCGTGTTGACAGCATCAGGTAGCAGCCTCACGCAGCCGTTGACGACGGAGGTCACGACCACGACCTGCGAGCCGGCGTGGTGCGCCTTCGCCACGGACTGCACGGCAGACCTCGATGGCACGCCCATCGCCGTGACATGCAGGTGCACTTGCGCCACAACGACTGTGCCCACTACATCGGTAACCAGCATCACGCAGCTGTTGACGACTGATGTCGCGACCACGGCCTGTGAGCCGGCGTGGTGTGCATTCACCAACGACTGTACGGCAGTCCTTGATGGTACGCCCATCGCCGTGACATGCAGGTGCAGGTGCACAACCACGACCGTGCCCACGACATCGGGTACCAGCATCACGCAGCCGTTGACACTCGAGGTCACGACCACGACCTGCGAGCCGGCGTGGTGTGCATTCACCAACGACTGTGCGGCTGACGTTGATGGCACGCCCATCGCCGTGACATGCAGATGCAGTTGCGCCACCACGACAGTGCCCGCGACATCGGGAACCAGCATCACGCAGCTATCGTCAACTGAGGTCACGACCACGGCCTGCGAGCCAGCGTGGTGTGCATTCACCAACGACTGTGCGGCAGTCATGAATGGCACGCCCATCGCCGTGACATGCAGGTGCAGATGCGCCACCACGACCGTGCCCACGACATCAGGTACCAGCATCACGCAGCTGTTGGCAACGGAGATCACGACCACGACCTGCGAGCCGGCGTGGTGCGCATTCACCAACGACTGTGCGGCAGACCTTGATGGCACGCCCATCGCCATGACATGCAGGTGCAGCTGCGCCACCACGACCGTGCTCACTCCATTGGGAACCAGCATCACGCAGCCGTTGACGACGGAGGTCACGACCACGACCTGCGAGCCGGCGTGGTGCGCCTTCGCCACGGACTGCACGGCAGACCTTGATGGCATGCCCATCGCCGTGACATGCAGGTGCAGATGCGCCACAACGAGCGTGCCCACTACATCGGGTGCCAGCATCACGCAGCCGTTGACAACAGAGGTCACGACCACGGCCTGCGAGCCGGCGTGGTGTGCCTTCGCCACGGACTGCACGGCAGACCTTGATGGCACGCCCATCGCCGTGACATGCAGGTGCAGTTGCGCCACCATGACCGTGCCCACGACATCATTTACCAGCATCACGCAGCTGTTGACAACGGAGATCACGACCACGACCTGCGAGCCAGCGTGGTGTGCGCTCACCGCCGACTGCACGTCAGACGTTGATGGCGCGCCTATCGCCATGACATGCAGGTGCAGATGCGCCGCCACGACGACTGTGCCCACTACATCGGGAACCAGCATCACGCAGCTGTTGACGACGGCAGTCACGACCACGGCCTGTGAGCCGGCGTGGTGTGCATTCACCAACGACTGTACGGCAGTCCTTGATGGTACGCCCATCGCCGTGACATGCAGGTGCAGGTGCACAACCACGACCGTGCCCATGACGTCGGGTACCAGCACCACGCAGCCGTTGACACTCGAGGTCACGACCACGGCCTGCGAGCCAGCGTGGTGTGCCTTTGCCACGGATTGCACGGCAGACCTTGATGGCTCGCCCATCGCCGTGACATGCAGGTGCAGATGCGCCACCACGGCCGTGCCCACGACATCGGGTACCAGCATCACGCAGACGTTACCGACCGAGGTCACGACCACGACCTGCGAGCCAGCGTGGTGTGCATTCACCAACGACTGTGCGGCAGTCATAAATGGCACGCCCATCGCCGTGACATGCAGATGCACTTGCGCCACCACGGCCGTGCCCACGACATCGGGTACCAGCATCACGCAGCTGTTGACGACGGAGGTCACGACCACGGCCTGCGAGCCGGCGTGGTGTGCATTCACCAACGACTGTGCGGCAGTCATGGATGGCACGCCCATCGCCGTGACATGCAGGTGCAGTTGCGCCACCACGACCGTGCCCACGACATCGGGAACCAGCATTACGCAGCTGTTGACGACGGAGGTCACGACCACGACCTGCGAGCCGGCGTGGTGTGCATTCACCAACGACTGTGCGGCAGTCATGAATGGCACGCCCATCGCCGTGACATGCAGGTGCAGATGCGCCACCACGGCCGTGCCCACGACATCGGGTACCAGCATCACGCAGACTTTGCCGACCGAGGTCACGACCACGACCTGCGAGCCGGCGTGGTGTGCATTCACCAACGACTGTGCGGCAGTCATAAATGGCACGCCCATCGCCGTGACATGCAGATGCAGTTGCGCCACCACGACCGTGCCCACGACATCTGGAACCAGCATTACGCAGCTGTTGACGACGGAGGTCACGACCACGGCCTGCGAGCCAGCGTGGTGTGCATTCACCAGCGACTGTGCGGCAGTCATAAATGGCACGCCCATCGCCGTGACATGCAGGTGCAGATGCGCCACCACGGGTGTGCCCACGACATCGGGTACCAGCATCACGCAGACGTTACCGACCGAGGTCACGACCACGACCTGCGAGCCGGCGTGGTGTGCATTCACCAACGACTGTGCGGCAGTCATAAATGGCACGCCCATCGCCGTGACATGCAGATGCAGTTGCGCCACCACGACCGTGCCCACGACATCGGGAACCAGCATTACGCAGTTGTTGACGACGGAGGTCACGACCACGGCCTGCGAGCCAGCGTGGTGTGCATTCACCAACGACTGTGCGGCAGTCATAAATGGCACGCCCATCGCCGTGACATGCAGATGCACTTGCGCCACCACGGCCGTGCCCACGACATCGGGAACCAGCATCACGCAGCTGTTGACGACGGAGGTCACGACCACGACCTGCGAGCCGGCGTGGTGTGCATTCACCAACGACTGTGCGGCAGTCATGAATGGCACGCCCATCGCCGTGACATGCAGGTGCAGATGCGCCACCACGGCCGTGCCCACGACATCGGGTACCAGCATCACGCAGACTTTGCCGACCGAGGTCACGACCACGACCTGCGAGCCGGCGTGGTGTGCATTCACCAACGACTGTGCGGCAGTCATAAATGGCACGCCCATCGCCGTGACATGCAGATGCAGTTGCGCCACCACGACCGTGCCCACGACATCGGGAACCAGCATTACGCAGCTGTTGACGACGGAGGTCACGACCACGGCCTGCGAGCCATCGTGGTGTGCATTCACCAACGACTGTGCGGCAGTCATAAATGGCACGCCCATCGCCGTGACATGCAGATGCACTTGCGCCACCACGACGGTGCCCACTCCATCGGGAACCAGCATCACGCAGACTTTGCCGACCGAGGTCACGACCACGACCTGCGAGCCGGCGTGGTGTGCATTCACCAACGACTGTGCGGCAGTCATGAATGGCACGCCCATCGCCATGACATGCAGGTGCAGTTGCGCCACCACGACCGTGCCCACGACATCGGGAACCAGCATTACGCAGCTGTTGACGACGGAGGTCACGACCACGACCTGCGAGCCAGCGTGGTGTGCGTTCACCGCCGACTGCACGTCAGACCTTGATGGCGCGCCTATCGCCATGACATGCAGGTGCAGCTGCGCCACCACGACGACTGTGCCCACTCCATCGGGAACCAGCATCACGCAGACTTTGCCGACCGAGGTCACGACCACGACCTGCGAGCCAGCGTGGTGTGCATTCACCAACGACTGTGCGGCAGTCATGAGTGGCACGCCCATCGCCGTGACATGCAGGTGCAGTTGCGCCACCACGACCGTGCCCACGATATCGGGAACCAGCATTACGCAGCTGTTGACGACGGAGGTCACGACCACGACCTGCGAGCCAGTGTGGTGTGCGTTCACCGCCGACTGCACGTCAGACCTTGATGGCGCGCCTATCGCCATGACATGCAGGTGCAGCTGCGCCACCACGACGGCCGTGCCCACGACATCGGGAACCAGCATTACGCAGCTGTTGACGACGGAGGTCACGACCACGGCCTGTGAGCCGGCGTGGTGTGCATTCACCAACGACTGTACGGCAGTCCTTGATGGTACGCCCATCGCCGTGACATGCAGGTGCAGATGCACAACCACGACCGTGCCCACGACATCTGGTACCAGCATCACGCAGCCGTTGACAACGGAGGTCACGACCACGGCCTGCGAGCCGTCGTGGTGTGCCTTCGTCATGGACTGCTTTGCAGACCTTGATGGCGCGCCCATCGCTGTGACATGCAGATGCAGCTGCGCGACCATCCTCACGACGACCTCGTCCTGCGAGCCGTCCTGGTGCTCGATCGTGGACTGCAGCACCCTGCAGGGGTCCGCAAGTTGTCCTTGCTCGTGCGCCTCGACTATCGAGACCACCGTCGTCCTCGGTGCGACGACCATGAGGACGCAGACGAACGCGACTTCCCCTTCGTCGACGACCGCCACGGCCTACGTGTCCACTTCGGTCACTTCGACGACCACCTGTGAGCCAGCATGGTGCCCATTCGTCTTATGCGAGGGTGCGGCCCTCGCGGAATGCCGCTGCTCTTGCGCGACGGCAACCTCATGGACGACGACCTCGAGCCTGACGACCTTTACGAGCAGCTCCTGCGAGCCCTCCTGGTGCGCCTTCGCCAACTGCCAACTGCCAGTCGCCTTGGTTCAGTGCCTGTGCTCGTGCAGGACGGCGACCGCAACCTCCACCTCCACAGGGGCCACTTCCACGACAGGGACGACAACCGTCTCAGGCACGACCACGCAGTCAGCGACGCCGACCAGCACGCGCTCGACGCTGACTACTGCGACTCGCAGCAGCACGCCGTCCTCGACTGGGAGCACGACCAGCACTCCGTGGTACACGGATGGGCCGAACGTGGGGAACAACGTGTGGGACGCGCTCTGCCAGGGCCCACCGATGACCCTGGATGGGGCTGCACTTGCGTGCAACGCCATGGCGGCCTGCTCCGTCGTGGCGGGCTTCGGCTGCCTCGGCGGATCGCTCTACAAGGCTTGCGCAGTGCCCCTGGAGGCCAGGGCTCCACCCAAACGGTGTTTTTTTTGTTTTGGCGATTTCGTGCTCCGTTTTCGTGTGGATTTCGTTTTGCAGCGAGGGCGGGACGAGGGCAGAACGAGGGAGAGCGAGAGCACGAACACGAGAAAAAGAGCACCGTTTTGCCCGAGCCCCGCTGGAGAGGCCCTGCTCAGTGCCAGCACCGGCTCGGAGGCCTGCACCCGAGTCAGGCACTCGGCCGGCACTTTCACAGGCACCGTCGCCGAGACACAAACCTCGACGAGCACCGCGCCGCTCGTGGCGTTCTTCGCGGGCCCGCGCGTGGGCAACAACGTGGCCGTGTCCGTGTGCTCGTCGCTCCAGCTGTCGTGGGAGGCGGCGAGGGTCGCCTGCGGCGCCCTCCCCGGCTGCGAGGTCATCGTCAGCTTCCAATGCGCCGGCGTGTACTGGTACCCCGAGGGGGGAAAGGTACCCATACCGCTACCCCTCCCTCGTTTCCCCTGTGTAATTTGGGCCTCATGGGGGGCCCTCGTCGCCACCGCTGGATTCGCCTCGAAATTATGGTCCGAACGCACCCCGGGAGAGGTCCGGAGAGTAGCGGTATTGGTACCTTTTGGGTTCCCCAGGTACGTTTGTGACGGCTCCCTCGACGAGGTCCAGGCCCAGAGCACGGGCACGGGGGCATGCACGTACGTCGCGGGCTACACCAGCACCACGGTCAGCACCTCGACGAGCACCATCAGCGCCACGTCTGGCAGCACCGCCACGGCCACGAGCACGCCAACAGGCACGACCACGACCAGCACGTCCAGGAGCGGCACCTCCACCTCTGGCACCGTTTCGGGCACAAGCGGGACGCACACCAGCAGCACGGCCACGAGCGTATCGGCGACCTCGACCACCACTTGCGAGCCGCCCTGGTGCATCTTCGCGGCGTGCATCGAGGAGACCTTCGACATTTGCCTCTGCTCGTGCGCAACCATGACAGCGACGACGTCCATGTCTACGACCACCAAGTGCGAGCCAACCTGGTGCCAGTACGCAGAATGCAGCTTGCAGGAGGCAGCAAGGGACTGCCCGTGCACATGCGCCACCACCACAGCGAGCACCGTGACGGCGATCAGCTCCTCATCCACTTCGCCCACCGCCACTGAGGCGGTCACAAGCTCGACAAGTACATCGACCACCAGTTGCGAGCCAGCATGGTGTGTTTTTGTGAGGTGCAGCACGGAAACGTTCCACATTTGCATGTGCTCTTGCGCCACGGCGACATTGACTGCCACAGTGACCACAAGCACAGCGACCATTGCCATGACCGCCAGTTCCACGACGACAGCATGCGAGCCGGCTTGGTGCCCCTTGGCGGAATGTAGCATACCGCAAGCAGCCCAGGATTGTCCATGCACATGCGCCACGTCGACCGCGACCAGCTCCCAGACCAACACTGCCTACGGCACTAGGACGGGCCCAACCGCAACCATCACCTTGGCTACGACAACAACACCGACCGCAATCACGACCAACGCAAGCTCATCGTCGTCCACTTCGGTCTCCGCCACAGCAACCCCCGTTTCGAGTTCGGGAAGCAACACCAGCGCAAGCGCCTCCATGTCCACGTCGGCCACCACCACCGAGAGCTCAAACGCAAGCATCACCAATCAAAGTTCGACCACTGTCACCACCACGTGCGAGCCGCGTTGGTGTTTCCTCATCAGGTGTATGGAGGAGACCTTCCACGTCTGTCGGTGCTCCTGTGTCACTGAGACGTTGACTGCAACAGCGACCACTACCACAGCGACCACTGCGACGACAGCCACTGCCACGACGACCACCTGCGAGCCAGCTTGGTGCCCCTTCGCGGTGTGCAGCATACTCGATGCAGCCAAGGACTGCCCATGCACATGCGCCACGGCGACCGCGACCAGCTCCCAGACCAACACCGCATACTACGGCACTAGGACGAGTCCAACCGCAACCATCACCGTGGCTACGACGACCGTTACCACCGCGAGCTCCTCGTCGTCCACCTCGGTCACTGCTTTCACGACGACCACCAGCGCGAGCTCCTCCTCGCCCACCTCAGCCACAGCCACCGAGAGCTCCACAGCAACGACCTACACCACTACCTGCGAGCCGCCTTGGTGCCCCCTTGCCAAGTGCAGGGAGGAGACCATCCACGTCTGCAGATGTTCCTGCGCCACCGAGACGTCGACTGCCACAGCGACCGCTACAACAACAGCCACTGCAACAGCGACCACTGCGACGACGGCCACTGCCACGACGACCACCTGCGAGCCAGCTTGGTGCCCCTTCGCGGTGTGCAGCATATCGCAGGCAATCCAGGACTGTCCGTGCACTTGCGCCACGTCCGTGTCGAGTACGAGCACATTGTCTTCGTCCACGCCTTTGACAGCGTCTTCGTCTACGATCATGAGTTCCTCATCGACACCTGCGACTTCTACGGACACATTCTCTTCGATCACATCTCGTACGAGCACACTTTCTTCGACCACGGACTCATCAGGCACTCATTCGTCGTCCATGTCTTCTGCCACCAGTACCACTTCGTCCACTGCCACTTCCACAACACCACACAGCACAACAGGAACCAGCCAGACCTTCACTACCACCTGCGAGCCGCCCTGGTGCCCCCTCGCCAGGTGCAGGGAGGAGACCATCCACGTCTGCAGATGTTCCTGCGCCACCGAGACGTCGACTGCCACAGCGACCGCTACAACAACAACCACTGCAACAGCGACCACTGCGACGACGGCCACTGCCACGACGACCACCTGCGAGCCAGCTTGGTGCCCTTTCGCGGCGTGCAGCATACCGCAGGCAATCCAGAACTGTCCGTGCACTTGCGCCACGTCCGTGTCGAGTACGAGCACATTGTCTTCGTCCACAAGCATCAGCTCCCTGTCTACGCGTGTGACTTTTACGGCCACGTCTTCGCCAACCACATCTCGTACGAGTACATTTTCTTCTGCCACATCCGGTACGGTCACTCTGACTTCGTCCACAGTCGTTTCTACGACGCCCCACAGCACAACAGTGACTAGCATGACCGACACAGCAACCAGCCACACTGATACGGAAACGAGTCAGACCGACACAGAATCCAGCCGAACACATTCAAGTACGAGTTTGACCGACACGGATACCAGTTATACCTATACACAAACAAGCTCGACCGCCACCACTCTCAGCTCGATCACGACCACTGCCACCACGACAAACACAATCATCGAGCTGGCGACGACGCTAGCGCAAGACATCCCTGCAGGAGCAGTGGAAGTGAGTGTTGAATCGCAGGACGGTTTCATACTGGGGATTGACATTGTATTTTTTGGTGACACTTACTCAGAATCAGCCACTATCGTTGGTTTTGGCTCCATCCTTCTGGACCGTCCCCTGGAGTACAGCTACCCTGCTGGCGCCACTGTGACAGCGCAGGTCCTCAAGCGGACAACTACTGCGACACTCACCACGACCACCACCAGCAAGACGGCTACAAGTAGCACGGGCAGCACGAGCAGCACGAGCAGCACGACCACCGCCACGCACGCCGAGACAAGCCCGAGGGACAGCGACGGCTCCAGCGGCTCCGGGTCCGCCTCCAACATGGTGCTGGCGGCCGTGGTCGGCAGCTCCATCCCGCTGGTCACCGTGGGCGAAAGACGTGTCCCCAGACATGCTCGCGTTGTAAATAAAAGAGTCTGGATGGGAGGTGTTTCCCAACTTTCGGCCCTCGGGGGCCCTCGCCGCGTTGTAAATAACGGAGTCTGGATGGGAGTGTTCCGGGCCCCGGGGCCGTCAAAAAGCCATTCGGGACGAAGAACCGGTCCTGGGGAAAGGATCGGGGCTTCCGGGGGCGCCGTCCTGAAAAATTGAGGACGTCACATCTCTGTGGACATGTCTGTATCCGCGGGCTCGCGGGCCGGGCCCCTGGGCCGCGACCCCGCGGATACGGGGCGTTTTTGCGCGGGTGCCCCGCGCGGAGCGTATCCGTGCGACCGCGCACCCAGACACCCGCCGACATGATTTTTGCAGTCCGCGGCCCAAGAGGTTGCGACCCCGTCCCCAGGGGTGATTTTTCGTCCTGGATCCCAGCCTGGGGCCCCCGGCCGGGCCCGATCACGGGCCCCGGATGCCGAGGTCAAGGGGTAGAACCGGCGGACTGAAAACGTCCTGTCCTCGGATCTGCGCCTCCGCGGGGTCGCGCCCCGGAGTCCGGACCCCGAGGGCGCGGACACGGACCCAGACCCCAGACGTCGTGAATTCTTCTCGACGTCGACCCCCAGAGCTTCTCACCCCTTCCGTGGCACGGGTCTTTCATCCGGACTCGTTTTTCGAACGTTGCAGGGCCGGTGAGGGCCTCAGAGGCCGAAAGTAGCGAAACACCTGCCGTCCATGAGATCCGACGTTGCCCCCAAAATGCAATGCCTCGCAAAAAATCACGCCCAGAGCCCCCGAACCCCATCTCTCCGCGTCATTTTTCGAGCCGGATCGATTTGTGAGGGTCCCTGGGCTCGGAAAAATACGAAAACGCCCAGCTCGAAAAAATTGGGTCGTGATCTTTTGACAACGCGAGGGGGTCTGGGGATCTGTTCGCCGCTTGTGAGGTCCTCAGCGTCCTCTGCTGGCTGCTGCGAGGCCAGAACCACGCCGCTCCCCCGGCGAAGCGGGCACCGCGGCAGCCGCCGCGACTCCTCCCTCGTCAGGCTTGCGGGCGACATGTGTGCGCACCGTACCGCGTCGGCGCCTTCCGGGGCGTCGTCGATGCTCGGCCCAGGAAGCCCCTCCCAGACATGCTCGCGTCGTCCAAGCATCAGGACGGGAGGCTTTGCCCGATTTTCGGCCTCGGGGGGCCTCGCCGGGCCCTCAGGGCCGTCGAAAAGCACGACCCAGGACGAAGGAAAGGGTCCCAGACAATGCGACGTCATGATTTTTTCAGGACGGCGTCCCCGCAAGTCCCGACCCTTTCCCCGGGACCGGTTTTTCGTCCTGAGTCGTTTTTTGACGGTCCCGAGGCCCGGCGATGACCTCTAGAGGGCGAAAATAGCCCAAACCGCCTGCCCTGATTTTTTTTTACGACGCCATCATGTCTGGGGTCGGAGCTTCCGGGGACGCCGCCTTTGAAGAGAGCAGGATCGGCATCACCCCAACATACTTATACTGTATGTGCGTCGCCCCCCCAGGGGCGACGCGCGCACCGAGAAATCTTATAGTATATGCGTCGCGGCGTGCGCTTTCTGGCCACACCGCTCGGGAAACGATATACTACAAGACGGGTATACTATATGTTCGGGTCGGACGCGCGCCTCCGAGGAGGACATATAGTATTAGTATGTCTCTGTGCGTCCCATAGGGGGGGATGCATCGACCCCCAGTCGTCCATGGATCGCTGATGGGGGCCCGATGCCCCCAACCTGCCCAGGACGGTGCGGGTTTGCTATCGGGGGCCAATCGCCGATCTGTCGGCGATGTATCGCCGATTCCAGGTCGACGCATCCTGTGCCAGTCCCCTCCGTCGCTGCCCCTCAAAAGAGTATAGTCTTAGTATGTCTCTGTGCGTCCCATTTGAAGAGAGCAGGACCGTTGCGGGTCCGGGCTGCGGTCCTGGCGGCTCCGCTTATTCCCGGGCGGGGTGAGAGTCTTCGCCAGGGTCTCTCGGGCCGCGGGGCCCTCTCGCACACCTCGGGTGCGGCTCGGGGGAGTGGCGCAGGGAGGGGGAGGAGGAGGAGGAGGAGGAGGAGGAGGAGGGGGAGGAGGAGGAGGGGGAGGAGGAGGAGGAGGAGGGGGAGGAGGAGGGGGAGGGGGAGGAGGAGGGAGGGGAGGAGGAGGAGGAGGAGGAGGAGGAGGAGGGGGGGGAGGAGGAGAAGGAGGAGGAGGGAGGAGGAGGAGGAGGAGGAGAGGAGGAGGAGGAGGAGGAGGAGGAGGAGGAGGAGGAGGAGGGGGAGGAGGAGGGGGAGTGGCCCCCAGGTCCCACATCGATCCGGGTCGAGGGATCTGGTCATGGTTGCTCGCGACGTTGCAATCGTTTCGCGACGTCGAGCCTCAGTAAAAGTGCGGTGCCTAGAATTTTCGGCCCCGAGGGTGAACAAGAACATGCGCCGTCCCGCGTCGGAGCTGGGCCTGCAGGGTGCCCAGGCAGGGTCTGGCGCAGAGCCCAGGCATCCAGCGTTTCGATCTTTGCGCGACACGGGCCCCCGACCTCTCGACCACTTCCCCGGGATCAGTTTTTCAGCCCGCGTCGTTCTTGCACGATCCCGAGGCCCAGCGAGGGCCCCCAGAGGCCGAACACGCCTCGATTTTTTCGCGCCGCCGGATGTCCGGGAGGCGCCGTTCTCGTATCGGGGCCCGCCCGCCGGAGTTGACCACGCGCAGAGGGGGGTGGGGAGAGGGGGGATGCCTTCCTCGAAGCACCCCTGCTTCTTAGAAGGCGCGGGCCTTCTACGAAGCAGCCTCCTTCTAAAAACCTTCCCCCCCTCCCCCTATCCCCGTGTGCGCGCCGCCCAGTGAAAGCATGCTTTGGGCAACGCAGGAGAGGGGGAGTGAGGGGGAAAGCAGGAGAAGCAAGTTGGGAAGAAGGGCGCCGGGATGATGATGATGATGATGATGATGATGATGATGATGATGATGATGATGATGATGATGATGATGATGATGATGATGATGATGATGCTGATGCTGCTGCTGCTGCTGATGCTGATGATGCTGATGCTGATGCTGATGCTGCTGCTGCTGATGATGATGACGATGCTGATAATGATGATAACGATGATGCTGCTGATGATGATGCTGATGATGTTGATGATGCTGATGGTATGATGATGATGACGATGATGATGATGATGATGATGATGATGATGATGATGATGATGATGATGCTGATGATGATGATGATGATGATGTTGATGATGATGCTGCTGCTGCTGCTGATGAATGATGTTAATGATGATGATGCTGATGATGATGATGATGCTGATGATGTGATGATGATGATGATGATGATGATGCTGATGTTGATGCTGATGTGCTGCTGATGATTGATGAGGAGGAGGAGGAGGAGGAGGAGGAGGAGAAGGAGGAGGAGGAGGAGGAGGAGGGGGATGATGATGATGATGGATGATGATGATGATGATGATGATCATGATGTGATGATGATGTGATGATGATGATGATGATGATGATGATGTGATTGATGATGATGATGATGATGATGATGATGATGATGATGATGATGATGATGATGATGATGATGATGATTGATGATGATGATGATGATGATGATGATGATGATGATGATGATGATGATGGAGATGAGGAGGAGGAGGAGAGGAGGAGGAGGAGGAGGAGGAGGAGGAGGAGGAGGAGTTTAGTCCGCCAGCCCTCGCATCATCTTATTTCCTATGCCGGGTGGTTCTCGTGCCATGGATGGCGCCTCCGGCGGCCGCTCGCGGAATGATCTGGGGGCACCACCAGTTAACGCGCTTTCGGCGAGGCGCGGCTGCTGGAAGGCATCCCGGGGCTGGAAACCCGCTTGGCATCGTTCGGACGTGTGCATGTTTTCCTCGGCGAGGACCATCGAGGAGCATCTTGGACCATCTTGCGAAACATACACGCGCGAAATCGATAAATACACCAGAAATGGACGTCCGAGCGATGGCAGGCTGTGCGTTTGGACCCGGAGGGGTCTGGGGACCGATTTCGAGCCGTTCTTGAGCTTCCAGTGTCTCACTTCGCTCTTCTTCGAGCATGGGCGTGAGCTTTCGGAGCTCTGCGCGGGTTTCGCGTCGTCGGCGCTGGGGTGAGGGAGGAGGGGGAGGAGGGCGGGGAAGGAGGGAGGGAGGGACCTAGGGGAAGGAGGGAGGAGGGAGGAGGGAGGAGGGAGGGCGGAAGGAGGAAAAGGAGGAGAAGGAGGGAGGGAGGGAGGGAGGGAGGGAGGGGAGGAGAGGGGAGGGGGGAGAGAGACGAGGAGGGAGGGAGGGAGGGCGGGAAGGAGGGATGGAAGGATGGGAAGGAGGGAGGGAAGGAGGGGAGGGAGGGAGGGAGGGAGGGGAAGGATGGATGGAGGGAGGGAGGGAGGGGAGGAGGAGGGGACGGAGAGAGGGAGGAGCTCTGCGCGTCGCCCCAATCCTGGACATCCGCCGATGGTATGTGTTTTTTTCCATCCGCGGCCCCGGAGAGGAGTCCCCGACCCTTCCGTCGGGGGGGTGTCTTTGCCCGCGTTTTCCGCGTCCTGGATCCATTTTTCGTGCTCTTCCCGTGTTTTTCAGTGTCTTTTGCCGTTTTTTTCCCGTGCGGGATCCATTTCCTGTTTTCGGGTTTTTTTCCAGTGTTTTCCGGCTTCTTCCTGGATCCATTTCCTGTTTTCGTGCTTTCCGGTGTTTTTCCTGTGCTTTGCTCCCGAGGCCCCATCACGGACCCCGGAGGCCGACCTCCAGGGAAGACCGCTGGACGGACAAACATCATTTCCGCTCGGGCGTCGTGTCCGGAAGGGCGGCAGAAGTGAGGGGGGGGGGGGCAGCGAGGGCTGCCGACAAGGGGCCCGTTGGGGCCGCCGAAAAGGGGTCCTTTCATACCCCAGGGGGGGGGGCCTGTCAGGGCCTGGGAAGCGCACCTTTCTTCCCCCTCCCCCACCGAGCGAGGCCCCAAAAACCGCCAGACTGAAAAATCAGATCCGCGGATCTCTGGGCCTGCGCGCCACCAATCACAGGAGCGAAAGAAGAACGTACACGCGCATGAGTCCATGCTGGTCCCGAAAGCACGCATTCCGCGAGCGTTCGAAGCTGGTCTCGCGGACGGGGTGGCCGTATTCGTGCACGTGGTTGGGCGCGCACGGGTTTTGTGGGCTCCCTGAAATCAGGACCCCGACATTTGGCCTTCGCCAAAAGCGGCCCCTCCCCGTCCCATTCCTCCCTTGGGTGCGTTTGCGAAATGGCTTCGCTTACGGTGGGGGCGTTGGTTAAGGAATGTGCCCAGGAGCCATCAGACCCTGGAGCATTCCTTATCGGATGAGGGCGGTGGTGATATTCATGGCCAATCCACGTGTGCAGTTCCCCCAGCTTCCAGGCCCTGGATTCCTTATCCAAGGGCTCCTTATCCAATGCCTTCACCGTACTGTGAGGGTGGCTTTCTTGCGAGGGTGGGCGTTTTCTTGGCTCGTCGGGGTGCTCCTTGTGAGGGCCGATTTTCTTTTGGGTGGTTTTCTTGCGAGTCCTGCTCCTCCTCCTCCTCCTCCTCCTCCTCCGTAGCCATTTTGGCTCAAGCCATTTTGGCTCAAGGCCATATCGGGAACTCAACCCCCCGACTCAAGTGGCCAGCGCCCGCCGCGCGCGCGCTCGGGGACAAAGGAGCTCGCCCGAGCAGTCCTCGGGCCATCTTTTGTGCGAACTGTCACACACGCATTTTGCCTCTGTGTCCGTGTATTGTACACCGTTCCCTTCGGTTAAGACGGTTGCCGCAATGGGGCGTGGGCCGAAGGCCAGGCGTGCGGGGCGCACGTCGGAGTCATCCAGCCCGTCGAGGGTAGCATCGCCATCGGCGCGCAGGTCATCAGCTACGCCGAGGCGCGCCCGTCGGGAGCATCGATCGCCCAGCTGCTCCCCGCCTCGTGATGATCGGAGCAGGGGCACTGGGGAGGAGTCCAGCTGTCACCCTCCAGTGTGGATGAAGGATATCATGAATGAAGTTCGTGGAATGATCAGTCACATCGCTA